ATGGCCCTCCAGGTGTTGTCAATAAGCAGCAACAAGCTATTAGTTGTGAAATTTAGCGTGACACCAAGCACGGTCAGAGGTTTTAGCAGTTAACTGTCCAAAGAACTGAGGGATGGCAAGAATCTCTGGCACCATGAGAGACGAAGGAGAGGAATCTTTTGACTGACTAGGGGGAAAAACAGGCCGATCGGAACGGAGGTCCTACAACTTCTTAACACGTAAATTTTTTAAATGTAATCACGCCACGCAGTCTGTCACGTGAGTGCTGGAGTTAGATCTCTTCTATGGTATAAATTATTGATTCAGGGGATTGCTATAAAACTATATGCAAGGTAAACACCACACAATCTGCCACGTGAATGCTGGAGTTAGAGCTCTCCTATGGCACAAAAGTATTAATTTAGGGAATTGCCATGAATAGATAAGCAAGGAATTGCATTGTGAAGCAAATATAATAAAGCCAACAGATTCCTAAAATAATAAAATGGGTCAAACATGTTCAAAATGCAATGTTACGTATGATTTCTACTTTGAGGTTTCAAATGAACATGTGGAGAATTTGCGTAGTAAAATAACAAATCCGTTGCACAACAAAATTACAATGCTAGAGTTAATCCGCCTTGTGCTCAAATCCGATTCAACTTTTCAAGCCCCAATGACTCCAAATTTCACGAGTTTGCAAGGTGACTTAATGCTCCTACCCTTATGTTCAAAGGTCCTATGCTCTTGAACTGAAATTACCCCCGCTGCAGAATCACACGGACTTTCCTCCTGTGAATTCACGATAATGAGGTTATCTGAGTGGGAGTCGGTGTGGTGGGTGATGCACAACACGTCTGGAAAGGTGGGCAAGGAGCTTACCTGGTCAAGCATCTCTTTCGTGTGGCCTGCGGAGATGCAGAAACGGGAGCGCGAAGCCAAGAGGGCCGTGGCGGGGAAGCCGACAATCACAACCCCAAGACCCCGTTCAAGGCACATTCGTGAGAACGCCACGAGTTTGCCTGGCATGTAGAGGATGAGCGGGACAACAGGACTGTCACGGTTGCCGAAGACAATCAGGCCCATCTCGTGCAGACGAGCTCGGAAGTAGCGGGTGTTCCAGGCCAGTTGCTTTAACCTTCAATGGGAGTGCAAAGTGGCCGGTGGGGGGAAAATCAATCACTGGAAAACATACAAACGTCTAGACCTGTCCGGAGTCGCTGCCTCAGAAATGAATGTGCTGACAATGAGGTATTTGTGTCCTATACAATGTATTGGGGTCGAAACTTCTGCTAATTTTCCCAATCGCGTCCACATCTAACCAAGTGATACTGTCCCTAAAGTGACTAGAATTCAACGAATTTAAGCAATTATTTTGCGAGAGCGGTTAGCAAAATTGTAAACTGAATTAACCGGCCTAAGTAATTTTAGTATTTTTGTCAATTTACTAAAGACATTCTAGTTGTTCAAAAGTATATCCGTGAGAGACAAGGACAGCTTACGACAAGTCATAAACAACCACCGGGAATAATGCAAAAACCAAGTCTAACTAATTCGACGAAAGTGTTTTTAAAAGGCTCCGAGAACGTAGGCGTTGGATTCATTCAAGTGTTAGTGGTAAGCAGCCCCGTAGAATGGTTTTGTTGTGGCACATTACAACAAAAAACACCAATGAAAGACAAGGAAATGAAACGATGGGGCCTCAGCCGTGTGTGGGGTTAACGAGAGAGTGGCAGTTTGCGCGACAATCGTCAGTTTACATTGGAACGCGTGATGCTCGATCCCGGAACGAACGTCGCTACACGAAATGAATTCAAGAAAATCGATTAATTTTGGGCTTGCTCATGTCTGCCAAGAAGGTTTGCGTGCTTCAAAGGTACAACTAAGATGAACTATCCAAGTCCGTGGTGTCACTTTCAAAGAGAGCAACAATCATACATAAAAAAGCACAAAAACCCTCTAACAAATGCTTGGCTGGGCAGATCAGACAAGAAGTTAATGAGAAACGAAATTTCATTCTTGTTCCTGCATTGAGAGGGAGAAGGACAAATTCGGCTAAACTTTTCTGTTGTGTTTCAAATGCTTTCGTTTACACTCTGTGAGTATAACGTCAACAGGCGTTTGGACGAAACTATGACTCGGGCTGATTCAAAGACGACTGAGTTGATTCGAGATGTGCAATGCTCTCAAGGAGCCGGAAAACCAGGAGCTCACCTGCGATCGCCCTCACCGGCACACTCGAGCCCCATGATTATCCGCATCGACGTGATGATTTGTTGGCACACCGGAGCGGGCATCGTGCCGGCGTAGACAGAGCTGTAGGACTGGGTGCGCACGTAGTCAATGAAACGGGCCGAGCCTGCAAGGTAACCGCCCGCCGAGCCGAAGCTCTTCGTGAAGGTCCCCATGGCGATGTCGATGTCGGCGGGGTCGAGGCCG